TATATATATAATGTCAAAGCTTGAATTTCTTGCTAGTGCTTACTATGTGTCAGAGGAAAATTCATTTCAGCATGGGAAAACAAATATTTTAATACTCTGGTAATTAAGAACTTCTCATAGAAGTATTTTCAAATGTTTGGAGAAATACATCTGTAATCTTAGGAATTCCAATGCAAAGCAGTTTCTTTCTTCCCCTCACCTTCTGCTGGAAAGTGTAGAAACCTTCCTGTCTTGGATTGTGTCAGCATTACCACGTTGATAATATAAATAGTTGCAGACATGCAACAAGGAAAGTAATTCTATAAGTGTGAAATGCCTTTTGTGCACATCTGTCCCCAAAATATGAAGAATGCCACCTGACTTTTAAAAATCTGTTTAGGCTGTAACATGAATTTCAAGTGTATTTCATAGTAACATCCTGGTAGATGGGTTTAGACTCCTTTTTTAAACTGTTTGAGTAGGAGCTGTTTTAAAGGTCTTGTCATTGAATTATTAATGTTTGCATGGCTTATATTTTTCTTTTGACATTTGGAGTGCTTATTTTTCTCTTGCTTGATTTTGTTTTGATAATTAAAAAACAGTATACATGTTTTAATTCTATACGAACACTTTAGGAAGAAAGACTGCAAGGAGTAACCTTGTGCCTAGCCAAAAGCGAGGTTGTGAAATGGTAGTGCCTATGGAAGGCTGTAGGTTTGAAAGATTGTCTTGGACCTGATCTTGTTGCATGACAACCGCGAAGCGCTGTCTCTCATATTTTAACAATTGCATAGTAGCTTTAAATCATCCCTTGGTGGCATTGATCTTGCCCAACTTTCGTTGTCTACAGAGTATATCAGCATCTGAGCTAGTTAGGTCTTTGTGTAATTAGTGATGAGAAGTCAGCACTCTTGGACTGCATTTCATCTAATCAACTGTAGGAATCTATTTTAAGTTGAGATGAATCACCCTGGAAATGTTGTGTTTCATCTAACCAACTGTAGGAATCTATTTCAGCTTGAGATGAATCACCCTAGAAGTGTCTTCTCTCCTCCGCTGGGGATAAAGGAAGCCTCGAAGGGCTAGTTCCCCTGTGGGCATCTCAGTTTGCTCGGATGACCTTGGCCTTTAGTGGCTGGTTTCACTGTAAGCCTTTTCTAATAGAATGTTTTTGTTTAGAAACGGAGAACCTCAAAACAGATAGTGCTGACAACAACTCAGAAATATGGCATATGTTTTGAGCTGTCATTGTCAGTAGCAGAAGTGGTATGAGGCAGATTAGAAAAATATGGAAACTAAGTCCCGCAAGGCTTATTTATAAAGACAGCGATGTGATTTACACAGAGTATTGTCAGAACTCAGGGATACAGTTGGTTTCATCTATCTTTACTTCTCATCCCACCCTCAAATGTTCGTTTCATGCAGCTTCTCTGAAACTGTTTATTTCCTTGACAGCCCTCTGCCCTCTTTTTTTTTTTTTTTTTTTAGAAAGATATGAAGAAGTTGCTGTGTGGTAGAATACTGTTGTATGTCGGTACAGTGAAAAGTGTATGAGTTGACAACTATTCCATGAATAGTTATCTATGCTATACTATGTTTTGTCTGATTTTGAAGTATACCGGAGTGTTCTATTTATAATGCATTTACTGAGAAGAACTGTTTTTCATATACTGTATTTGTAACTCTGTGATATGTTCTGCTTTTTATGGGAGAGAATGATTACAGTGAATTCCTTTTTCAATGTTGCCTTCGTCTCTCTTGCTGTGCATGTTATGCTTTAAAAATATTTTTAGTACTTAATTTAGATAAGCAGAGATGCTTAATATTGAGAACCAAGCCTAGATCACTAATAGGCATTTGTATTCAGGAATTATCCATTTACCATTAAAACTGAGTCATCAGTATGCCCATACAGTAGCAAAACTTTGAATATTAATAACAATAAAGACAGTGTGGTTTCTCATTTGTAATTTTGTCTTGCTAACCACCTGATTTAAATAATGGCATTCGGGGTGATAAAATTTCTGTAGTTAACGTAAACTATTTTCAGTAGTTTAAAAATGGGTAATGATTTAAATCTTCTTGGAAAAATAAACTTGCAGTAAGGTGGAGTCTTTCTCACTAGTATTGGTCATAGAGCATTTTATGAAATGGGAAATGTTTGGTTGTACTTCATGTGTTTTAGATGGTAATTGTTTTTAATTTTAGTGATAGGAAAATGTTCACAAAAAATACAAATATAAAAAATTCAGTCAGATGCACAAATAAAGATGAGAATCTAGCTTTCACCTAATATAAATGTGTCCCCCCCACACACACATCTATTGGGTTACACTCTAGATCATTCTATTTCTTAGACAGAAGATCCATAAATCCTTTAGCCATTCCTTACAAAGTGGTGTAACTAGAAAGGTAAAGAAATCTTCCATCATAGAGTGTAGGAGATTAAGATATCCTTCAAGGAAACACCTAGCATCATAAAAAGAGCAATTATGGAAAGCTCTAAGAGATTATTTTAAAGGGTTTTATAGACCTCTTAAAACTGGCTTAGCTTTGGGAACTCCTGTATGTTTCTTGTTCGGTGAGCATTGGGTATTAAGGAAAAATTGTGTGTTAAATTCTGAATAAGTACTTTTCTACTCAGTGTGTTAGTCCTGAGACTTTACATTTATTTCCCTTTCTTGCTTGTTCGTTTTAGGTTTGCCGTTTATTTTGATAGAGCATGTCAATCCTGCACGCTGTACGTGGCAGGAATCAATACCACCTCTATATCTTTTTATCTAGCTACAAGATCATCTAGCTACAAATAGTTTACTGACTTTTTACTTAAATAGCATTTAACATGGCATTTTATTTGTCATCTTGATGCTATTTAAGAATTCATCATACCGACAAAAATGTTTAGGTTACAAGTTATTAATGAATAAAAAATGTTTTGTTTTGTTTTGTTTTTCTCCTGATTGAAGAAAAAGTGGAAGGAATGCTAGAAGGAGGTGGAGAGGAGATGGATGCAGTGTTAAGGGTATATTGATTGAGCCTTTAAAGATGATTGTTGTTTGAATCATATGAAGAATAATTGGGAAAAACTTTAAATGATATATCAGTTAATTTAATTTTGCTTCCTAAAGGGGAAGTGGTTTAGAAAGCCGACAGGCCATCTGCGTGCCCAGGAGTATTTAGGTCAGTGGGTCTGTCCTGTCCCGCTTTATTACCGGATGAAAGGATCTGTTGTGCTGGAAGCATTCTTGTCTTTGATTTAGGTTTCTGTTTAGCCAGTACTCCTTCATAAATATTTATAAAGTATGATTATACTTCAGTGGCTTAATCTAGTTATTGAAGGCTGCTCTTTATGTAATTGTGAATTAAAACTGCTCTTTATGAACAGAATGCCTTTGGTTTTGTTGGGGGAGGCTTTTTTTTTTTTTTAGTACAAGGAAATATAGAAGAAATATAAAATCAGACTGTTTTGAAATGATGATTAATCAAAAAAAATCAAATGTATATGATGTGTGTCATTGATGTGTGTCATTGTATTTGTGGTGTATATTCTTTTAATATCTTTTTGATATCCCTAATATGAATATATTGTGTATTTGGAGTGGCCAAATTTTCGTTCTGTCGCATGTGCCTAAAGACTGTTATGTATTTGTCAAATACTTTGTGATTCCCTGCTTTTCCACCTACTTTTTTTCTTTTTTTTTTTTTTTAAACTTCCTGTGTGACTTTGTAGTGAAAGGTTTTTAAAATGCAAAAGGGGCCAACACTGTATACAGCCTGACTTGGTAGAATGGATTAGTGGAAGACTAGGCAAGCTGTTGTTCAAGTAATAGGCTTTTTGTTTAACTCTCCAGAGTAGTATTCTAACAACAACCATAGAATAGATTTTAGGAGGTAAAATTTCTGATGTAAAATGTGCTTATACCTAAGAGGAAAACAGAAACGTATGCAGTGTATTTCTCTTTTCACATACTTTTACCTGTGATTTACTGACATCTCAGATGATAACAACGCTCTGAAAAAAAAATCCAATTTTCCTTTCCCCTGGATTTTGAAAGTGCCCAACTTGGATTTTGCCTGCTGTTAAAAGCTGGAGATGCTCAAGTACATTGTGACCTTTGTTATACCCTCATCTGTCCCTTTGTGAAATTAATTTTTTATTGTGTTTAGATGTATAAACCAGCTTAATTACGTTTCTGTACCTAAACATCACTGGGTGATCCTTTGTAACAGTATGTATTGAGATAAGGTGGGTGACAGTTGTGGCCAGATCATTTGTAAAATAAAGACACTGTAAGAAAAGTTACTGTGGGAAAGGGGCAATAGTGGTTAAATTCCCTGAGCCTCATTTCCTTTTCTGGTTGATAGACAGGATATTTTTGACTTGTGTCTACTCTTCTCTCCCCTCACAGAATTAAAGCCATTTCGATTGAGGCGAGAATTATGAAGGGAAGTCTGAGATGGAGCTTGTCAAGTTCCTAGTACTATGTTAAGTGGAATCCTGTGTAATTGTAGATGTTATTTCAGAAACAGTTACAGCAAGCCTGCATTTTTAAATGTCCAGCTTGTTTAAAAAGCGTAACACATTTTTTAAGTTGAAATTTGAGTCAGTTTCAGTATTTCGATCTGCTAGGGAATACTACATCTTGTTAGGATTTTGCAGAAGGATGTTTGAGGTATTGGAGGTTCTACGTGTAGTCTGCTGAGGCTGTGTGAGGAGAGGAAGGAACATTAGTTTACAATATGCTATATTTTAAAGGTGTGCTTATTGTCTTGCTGAGACCATTTTATGGCTCTGGGGAAGCAATATGCACTTTTAATGCTTCCATTGTAGCAGTACAACTTTATGGTTTCTGTGTCAGAGGCCTAAAAGTCACCAACTGGATTTTTTTTTTCAAAAGAAAATCAAAATAAATGCATGATATTATAACTTTTCTTATTGATTTATAACTTTTTTTTTCTTTCCCTCTTTCACAGATAGTTGCTTGGTAGATGGGAACCCATGCGTTCCTTCTGGAGTCCCTAGCCTCATGGATGCAACAACTAAGCCTGCTGCCCCTGCTTCGTTCAACGCTTTTGTGGCCGAGATTCCAAGGAAACGCAAAGGAAGTGATTCCGATAACCAGTAAGTGAATTGGTTCTCTTTGTGCCACACTGTAAAGATGAGGCATGTATGTTATTTCAATGACATGGTAGTTTCCTAATCCTTTTTCTTGAAACGCCGTAGACGCTACAACTATTAATTACAATGTATGTTTGTGATTATGAAAGCAGTTCTCTTTAATGCATTCTTCTATATAGTCCCTAATCTACAGAATGTATCCACACTATGGATGTTGATAAAACTGTCCAGCTTAAAAATTCAAGTGTGTCTTGTATTTCTGGAATTTTCAGTGATCTATAGTAGTTTGTTTGTTTGTTTTCCTGTAACATTTATCTGAAACATTTTTCACTGAGCATATCAAATCATCTTTCTCTACGTCAAGTACATTCTGCTTACTTCATTACCTGTTCCTGCAGGGACACAGCTGAAGTTGATGGTGATCCTCAGAAAAGGTACATTTTTAGAAATGAAGCCATTACTATTTTCATTGTTATAAGTGTCACATTCTGTTTGGGTGGGTAAGCTGTGTGTTTGCTTACCTTCAGGAATGCTAGTATAAAGGCACAAATCTGCAGGGTACAAATACATACAGCAAAAGGTGATAATAGCTGTCCAGTATTCTGTTGTACCTGCCTAGTTGGGATTTGGTGCATGACTTAGTGGATCATAATGAAATCTTTCTCTGGAGATAAAATGGTTTATTTTATTGTGGACTTTGCCGTGATGCTCATGATGGAAAAGTGAAAAATCTGGTACAACATTGCCTCTTCTGGGGCAGTCCTGAGCCTACTGAGTCTCCTCTGCAGTGGAGCTTAGAGTACAGCATGTGATGGCTCCACTGCTAAATTTTAAAAGCAGAAGTACTACTGCAGATATAGTAAAAAAAAAAAAAAAAATTGTAGTAGTTTTCCTTCACTCTAAAGCAAGCGGTAGCCAATGTTAATATATAAACTGCTCTGAATACTCTCCACCAGTACAAAAATGCTTATACTGACTTTGCAAGTTAGTGATTAGGCCACCTTATGACACTTTTAAAAGGTGTTGGTGAAGAATACAGTGGTTTTGAAGAAAATAAAAATCATTGCCCTCATTTGAGTCAGTTGTGTTTTTCTGCTGTCAAGGATTTTTCATGATGCAGGCAATTGATTTTCTTTCATCTGCAGTTTTATTAAATAGACTCTTTCTAGGCGTTACTGTGTGGTAAAGGAAAATAATTAATTTTTTTGCACCCATGAGCAATTGTAGAGTGCTATTTTCAGCCTAGTGTAAGCTGAGTGCTGCTTTTATCTTTGGACAATGAGTTTGGAAATAATCACACGATAGAGGATAGCTCTTGCAAAATTAGAAAGAAAATCAAGGCTGGGCTTTGACTAGTTTTAATGTTGCATTAGTTTTGTTTTCTGTAGAATATAAATAGGTGCATAGTTATGAAATATCCCCATAATTATGTGAACATTCAAAGTTATGTTTTGCTCTCTTGTTATGTTATGCATCACTTGCTAGATAATTCTCATATAAGGAATTTGTGCAATTTTGATATTGTTCGAGTGATAGCTGTTTTGTAGAATTTCCTATATCATCTTGAATGTACAGAAGGAAAGATGTGCCTAGTATTAAATACACAGTTTAAAACTCTGTGTCTTTTCTTCTCTAGGAGTGAAGATGACGAGCATGTTAAAATAAAAGATTTCAGGTACTAATTTACAAAAAGAGTACATTTTGCTTGTAAATACTAGGATTGACACTAAACGAATCAGTTTGTGGGTTGCTTTTATCAAAACTGTCAGATATTTAACATTTTTGGCACCTTTTTATTCTATTTGTCTATTAATAGTTGGCTCTTTCTTGGGAATTTTATACTTTAAAGAACGCTTTGTTGCAAATACATTAACAAAATGTAACAAAATGCTCGGACATTAACAAAAACCTGAGGCTTAAAATTTTCAAGATAAGAATTAATACAGTCATTCAAGCTGCGTATAAAGGGAGCTGATGAATGTCAAGATGTCAACGTTTCCTTTAGGTTTGTCTCCACATGGAGTTATTTGAGGGTAGTCTGCGTGAAAGTGGATTGAGCTAAAGCATGTCAGAAATTATTGTTCTTGAACAAATTCTTATATAGGGAAATTGTTTAGGGATTGCCACTGCACTTTCGATTCATATCCTACCTTAATGCAAATTAAAATTTATTGAAACAGTGTGACCGAATGCAATTGATTCATGCAAGGAGTTATTTTAAACTATAGACCATTTAAACTAGAGTTGTTTCAGAATAAAATTCTTGTTTTATTTTCTGCATGCTAGCAAAGATGTGATGGCAGAAATCTTCAAGTCCCTGTGCTGCCAAAAGCAGTATTTTTGCAGTATGTTAACTGCTGATTATGAAAGATTATTGTAGTTTAACTTAACCAGAAGAAATTAATGACAAAGTTCATTCCAAAATATATTATCTCTGCACACTTTTTACTTAAATCCAGGACTCATTCATCTTTCCTGAGTATCCCAGTCATTATGCAAGCTTCTCTTTTGTATAGTGCTTTGATAACAGTCGTGTTGTATTGTTGATTTCTCTCTCAAAAATGGTTTCTTACCTGAAAAAGTGGAAGACATTTGGAAAGTTTCTTCAACAGATATCTCCTTCCAGTATGTTTCTTTTTGAGGAAATTACTTTCATCTGCTTTGTAACTGGGAAATATCACAGAGGGCTTTTTGAATCATCCATTCATCACTGCAAATTCTGTATCCACCTGTTCTATGTTCCCTAATTTCTTATTGAATCTTCCAGATGTGGAAGATTGGTGTGTTTCCACAGATGTTTATGTCTGTCTTCCAGACATTCATGTTTCAAGGAGTATATTACAACAGGGTAATATATATTACTGTTGCTGCTTGACACAAAGCAAAAAGTCAGTCCTTAGAGCTGAAAATCAATAAATGAAAACAAATTTTTCATAAAACTTGAGAGAGAGATCAGAAAATTGTTCAGGTGAATAACTCAAATTTGTTTGTGGGCAGGGGAATTTTTTGTGTGTGTGTCTAAAACGAATAATGGAAATAACGGAAGACTGTCTTTAAAATTGTGCTTAGTTCTTTCTCATCAGGCCAGATTTAGTTAATTACCTTTAATAATTTCTGTTGCAGTATCTCTTAAGAAAAAGCATTGCAGAGATGAATTACCCAGAACATTTTCCTCTCAATTTGGTTCACTACCACTGTGTGTCTTCTCAGTCAGGAAGAAAAATGATCTTCATTTTGACTGAGTGGCCAGTTTGCCTTCTGTTTAAGGAGGAAATGAATGAATTAAACTTTTTTTTTTGACTGCTGGAGGATGTTAGAGGGAGAAAGATCAGCTAGAAAAGCTAACATACTTGAAGGAATTATAGAGGTGACTTGAGATGTAAATATTGAGATTCGTGATGTATATTGTCATGTGCACTACATGTGCATTTTTCTGATGAAAGCCCTCTTAAGAGAAGCCCTCATCTGTGTTTGAGTTCTTGGACAGGGGCTTCCAAAGAAGTAAAACTTAAGACATAAGGTATGCACAGAGCCTGAAGCCCTCTCTACCAGCTTGTCTTGTGACTGAAAGGGAAGCTTACTGAGAATTGAAAACAGATGAAACATAGCTTCTTTGCTTTTAGTTTTCACAGCTAATAAGGGTATGTAAATGTGCTATCTGCTGCTTATGCTGTGCTATGAATAAATGCTTGTTTCTGTGTCCTACTTCAACCCGAGTGACTTTTAATATAACTAGATAACGAGAAGCAGAAATGTCTTCTAGTGCTTACTAATGACATGAAATAATACCTTGACAGCTTACTGCATGCCAGAGATTCAGTTGAACCTCAAGGGTCACAAGGAGAATTTCACAACTCTGTAAAAGCCTTCATAATCAAGTTGTTGCTTGACAGCTTTCTCTCTCAATAGTATATCATTACTATGGCTGTTGCTGTTCTGATTAAGTTAAACAAGTTGAATTGTCAAATACATGAAGCTTAAGAAAAACTGTTTCAACACAGTGATATTTCTTGCAGTATGTTCTGCTCCTCAAATTAAATAGATTTGTTGGTGGAGGGGGAGATTGTGTTCTGCATCTTTCTTGAAATAATTTTTCTTGTTAGAGAGGCACACAGTCAGACAGAGAAACGAAGAAGAGACAAAATGAATAATCTGATAGAAGAATTGTCTGCTATGATACCTCAGTGCAACCCCATGGCGCGAAAACTAGACAAGCTTACAGTGTTACGGATGGCTGTGCAACACTTAAAATCTTTAAAAGGTGGGTTATAAAAGGTGAGACGAAGGTCATGCTTTTTCTAAAAAGAATTATACTATATATTTTCTTTAATGATAAATAACTCTATATACCTAGTCACTGAGCTCAATTCTGAGTATATGCTTCTACATAATCATTTCTAGATATGTTTGTATTTCTTCTTAGCAGCTGTATGTGATTTTGTGTAATTTTTGTCTACTGAAGTTTTTTTCTGCAACTTATCCTTCATAACTTATTCTTCATTTAAATTTACATATTTCTGTCTTCCAGAATTTCATTTCTTGTTTTGTCTTTTTTTCTGTTATGTATTAAACAACCCTTTGGTGTCTGATACTTTCTGTCTGCTAAGGGTATGCAGAAGTCAATGTGCGATCTATCCCCTTTCCCTCATACTTTCGGTAATAGTAGTACCTGTAGTGCACTACCCAAACCACTAGCTGTACTGCTAATAGAGGAGCAAATTGTCTCTGTACTCCTATTCATTATTTGCACATTCGTGATTGCATCACGTCTTTATCCCTGCATTGGAATTTCATATTCAGCTGATGACTTTGAAATAAACAGCATTATGAAACAAGGCGTGGAAAATGCTTTTAAAAAAATCTGGGAAAACTTTAAGTTGAAGACCAAGTTATTTAAGAAATACCAAATACTTCTAACAAGTTTCGTCAAGCATGAGATCAAAAAAAAAGGCCCCCTCAACACTGGGAAACAGTGTTGATGCTTACCTAAGAAAACTAATGTAAATAATTGTACTGGTAGTGAGCATACAGAACTTGCTTAAGTGACAGGTTAACTCTTGTGCAGTGTAATGTCATGAAACCAAATCCATTCATGTAAAACTAAAAAAAACATTGGCTTTGAACACAGTAATCTTTGAGAATAGGAGTCAAAGGGGACATTAAAAAACAAAACCTCATATACAGTTACCAAAATACTTGCAGTGTTTAAGAGTGGTTCTAGGCTATTTGCCTTGGGAGCTGGAACAATAAACATAGCAAGTCAACAGCACAATAGTTGAGCTACATAGAATGATTTCGTGTTTTGTGTGTGTGTGTGGGTGTGTGTGTGTGTATGTGTGTCACTGGATAGGTAGTTCTAATGAAGCCTTGTTTGTGCCCAGAAGGCAACTGAGAGTATAAGAATTGAGATTCAGCAAATGTTAAGGATTTTGAAACAAGCCTATTAAAATATTTCTACATAATCCAGTTCTCATAACACCATTTCTCTAGCAGTACAGTAAGGATATCTAAGGATATTTTGATTTGTGCTAAATGAAGGGCAGCATCAGCATTTTTTTTTTGAAGTTACTAACTACTAGTGGGGTTTTTTTGTTGTTTTTAAGCCATGGGTTGCAAAGAAAACTTCTAAAATATAAACCAAGCATAGCTCTGTTAAATTGTAGCTTTTGACATTGGATATGTGTCTGAAAATAAGCTGTTTTCCAGGTTCTACTAGCTCCTATTCAGAAGTCCGATATAAACCTTCATTTTTAAAGGATGATGAGCTCAGACAGTTAATCCTTAGGGTAAGTAGAAGAAGACTATCAGTCAGATGATGTTCTATTAAAGCCAGACTCTAATGAAGTTTTTAGTTTGATAGAGCTTTTTTTTTTTTTTCTCTCTCCCTACAAGTGTGTGCGAGTATTGGCTGATGAACCGTATACAGTATACAGCGTTATTTTTCATAAAGATATATGGAAGATAATGCATCAGTGCAATAGACAGCAACCATAGGGGATAATAACTCTATACATAAACTGCATAATTAATACATAAAATATTCTTATGCTGATATTGAACTCTGCCTGCAAATATAGAGAATGTTTTCAATTACATGTAAATACAATTGCTGTTATTTGCTATGCTTTGCTCTATTTTTTCTATTTATATTTTGAAATAGAAGTAGAAATAATATCTGCAAGAAAATCTTTCCTCCTGTTTTTACACACTCATACACCCACACTCCTTTATGCTTCCACATTTGCATCTATTTTCTTCCTTATTTGCTACAATAACATAATTTGGCAAGATCTGTAAAATGACTCCAATTAAGCTGTTTAACAGTTGGCCTTCTCTTCTCCAAAGCTATGTTTAGGAAATTTTACCTGTCTGCAGTCTGACTTGGTTCTTGAAGTCTTTTTAATTCCTTTTTGTGTGTGATTTATATGACTTAATAAAAACATTGAGGATTACAAGTGTACTTCCTTGAAGTAATTAATATTCATAAAATATTTTAGTTGTTTATTTATAAAGACAATATCTTTGTATTTTCAGGCTGCAGATGGATTCCTGTTTGTGGTTGGATGCAACAGAGGAAAAATTCTGTTTGTTTCAGAATCAGTTTGCAAAATACTTAATTATGATCAGGTGGCTATAACTGAGTTTTTATTTTGCATTTTCTTTAACTTAGGAACTTTTAAACTTTATAAAGTCTTATCGCATTTTATTAAAAAGAAAAATCAATCTTTTTGCGTCATTTATTTGCATCCCTTTGCTTTAACCTTCTTTAAAGGGTGAGGCTCTACTTCCTAGAATGAAGCATTTGCAAGAACAGTCAGTGTCCCTGACCAGAGTGACAGTGCCAGATTACAATAGATGATCCTTAAGGAAAGTGTTGGTCTGAGGGGACTAGTTGTCCTAGTTTCCACCTCTAAAAGATTTTCTTTTATATGATGATTTTAATTCCAAAAAGCATAATGCAGTTGTTTGTTGAGAGCTTTGGAACTCGGTCAGGGACGAAATGTACCTTTTGGCATCTCTCCCATCAGCCATGCCCGCGTTCAGACCCATAACATAGATGGCTGCTCTTCCCGCCAAAGAGGCAAAAGGGGCTAGGTGCAGTGGACATGACTGACTTAAGCCAGGGATTCGTTAGCTTAACTGGGAATCATTTCTAGCTATAAATCCTGTTGTTGTTCCTGTGCATTTTGGCAAGACTGCTGCTAGCCTTTCTCAGTGCCACTCAGCATTTTGCATTTGCATTAGGATTAGAAGGGGACTGGGCAAATGGAAAAGACTGGATGCTTGTTTTGCTTTCTTAGAAGCTTTTCCCTTAGCCCGTTTCCAATTCTAGCCTGTTGGAGAGGTGCTCCCTTTATTCACTGGTGACATAGCAGATGGCAGGGAGTCCAAGATGAGGTGTAGCTTGGATCTAGAATCCTTCTTATCAACACAGCTGCCTTCTACTCAGTGATCTGACCTGCTGTGGTGAAGGTAAGCAATATTAAAAACAAAACCACTATCCCACTTCTGTGGGAATTTTTTCCTGTTTCTGAAGAAGGTGATGGTGCTTGAAGTAGTTCTGCAGGCTGGTTATTTTGACTGGATCAGCAGAGGCTGTTGAAGTTGCAGGTCAGCAGGTTGAGAGGATCCCAGGCAGAGCAATCCCTATAAGTATTCCCTGCTAAGGAGTGTTGAAGTGAGCTGTCTTCTGTGCAGCTTTTGAAGAGTTCCTGGCTTACTTGTGCCATTTTGTCCAGCTAAATGAGAGCCTGAGTCATTCAGCACCTGTAAATACTTCTATTCTTAAAACAAAATCTGGGGGGAGGGATGTGTTTCTATGCTTTATCCAGCTATATCCAGTATTTTTTTGAAGGGAAGTTACCAATTCCATTTTTACTATGTTGTTTTCTTGGAAGCAATATTAAACAGGAGCAAATTAAATGCAGATTAAAAATATTGAAATTCAGAATAACTGTGATATCTGAAAGATTTATTTTTAAAATAGCATAGAAAGTTGTGTTTCCAAGGTGACTAATATGGTGTTTGGTTCTAGAATTTATGGTTTTCAGTTATCTACTTTTTTATTTTAAATAGGCCAGTTTAATTGGACAAAGTTTGTTTGATTACTTGCATCCAAAAGATGTTGCCAAAGTTAAGGAGCAACTTTCTTCTTCTGATATCTCTCCAAGAGAAAAGCTTGTAGATGGCAAAAGTAAGTCATAGTTATGAGTGTACTGAAATTTTCTTAAGAAATATCAATAAGTTCAGTTATTATGCAGAGCATATTCACGTATTTGTATGTGTGTCTATGTACAAGCCTGAGATATGATTCCTATAACATATTTGCTAATCTGCTGCTTAGAGTGCTTACAGTTTAGAAGCTAGCCTAGTAAATAAGTTATTTTGGGTAATAAGAATGATAGAAATCAGCATTGCTAAGCATTTGCCGGCATGTGGTCTGATGTTTTTCCTACCAGGCATACTTCTTTTTTTTCTTGTATTTGATAGGTCTTGTCAATACAAAAGACCTGATGTAGTCGAACATGGGATAAAATACTTCAGTATCAAGAATCACTCTCCTCTCTGAAAATGCTAAGTGTCAATCCTAATTTAAGCAAATTTTATTCTGTTTACAGTTATTACTGTTAAGGAAAGCATTATGTACTGTGCAGCTAACTGCTATTTTATAGCTGTTCTTAAAAAAAAAAAAAAAATCTTTGCAGCTGTTTCCTGTACCAAATAGAAATTGAAATTTTATAAAGTGTCTAGGGCATTCAAATAATTTGATAGTTCTTTTTCATTTTGGAATTTATGTGACAGTTGCATTTTCTTTTCCTATTTAAGCCATTAGGATTATTTCATAGTTAAGTACCAAATTTAGGCAAATAAGCAATAGGGAAAATGTACTAGAAACTGAAATGAGGATGAGGCCGAAGTTGTTTGTTGTTTTGTTTTTAACTTCTTTTACTGAACTTTCGTAAGCTGGCTTGCAAGTACACACGGATTTTCAAGCTGGACCAACTCGACTGAATTCTGGTGCTCGACGTTCTTTCTTCTGTCGGATAAAATGTAGTAAGACCATAGTGAAAGAAGAAAAGGAATGCTTGTCCAACCAAAAGAAGAAAGGTATTCAATCAGTGTAGAGGCAGTGGGAGTCTTTTTGACATGAAATTGTGCATATTTAACTTCTGAGTGAGTAATGTGGTCCTTGCAGTTATCAAGGACTTCCCAAAATAGTTGTGAAGTGTAAGTATTTCCTGGTGACACGTACTGAAAAACAGTCTAGTTGTACTCTCTCCTCCTTATTCACCCCAGGGAAGTGGGAGAAGGAACCTCAGATACAGTGGCTGGGTTTAGCAGCATGTAGTCTGTTCCTGTGAATTTTAGAAAACTCAGGGAAATTCTTGAAAGCACTGGAGGCAATCAGTGGAATGAGATTAATTTATGTCCTAAAGATAACTCTAGGGATAAAATCTGCCCAAAGTAGTGTTTTGGAGGGGGGTGGGGGGGAAACTAGTATCTTTTTCTTTTTTCCTAAACTACATTTTCTGTTGTGTCTACTTGCTAAGTATGAATTTTCCTCTCTCACTTAAAATAGTAAAGTTAATTACTCAAATCTAGTTTTCCATTTTTTTTCAGTAGTTTTAATTTAGCTTGTATTCTGATGTGCCTGTACAGCAGTAAAGTCTTTTGAACTTTCAGTGGATGTTTTTTCCTTTTTAAGACTTAATTACCAGCTCTCATTTAACACCTTAATACTGACGTTTGTAAAAGTGCTGAAATGGACCTTGAAAAAATCTTGCTACTATTTTTTTAATGTAACATGTTATTACTGATACATACCATTCAAGGGTAATTTTTAAAGTAGATTTCTCATTATAAGTTAATAGAATTCTAGCTCTCTCAATGTGCCAAACAACTTGGTGAGAGATGAGAATTTGACATTTATATTGATGGAAGAGTCATCTTGCCAATCTGAGAAATTGTGACAAAGTCCCTGTAGGGTTACTTGCAGTTGATTGATAGAGTAGATGCAGTTAAGCTTAGGGAAAACATAGTTTGATCAGAATATGGATATCGGAGTCATTTGGTAATTTTTTGAGAGATAGTGACTGTAAGACGCAGTATGTCATCTCTACTTTTTGGTATATATGAGGTTATTTGCATGGTATAAAGACAGGAAAGGGGCTACCAGTTGCAGGAGTGAGAGACGGTGTGTGTTGGAATTTTAGAGACCTTTTTCATATACCTGTTCCCAGTAATTTGAAGCCTGAGATAAATAGAAAGTAAGCTTGATTGGTTTTGGCTTCCTTCCAGAAGTTTCCTAATGCAGCAGTAAAAATATGTTATAGTCAAGTGTTCACAAGACAAAGAGGGGAAGACCTGTCTAGTTTGTTTGAATTCAGAATGTGTATGAAACCATATGAAGTGATCTGTGTGTTGCTAGACTCTTGGTTTACTTTTTCTTCTGTGAGAATGTATTTGAACTGCCAACACCTGTAGCTATATAGAAGTACACTCTCAAGGTAAGCCAAAATTAAGTAGTATAAAATTAAGTAGTATTGCAGAGTATTTAATTATAGCCTTCTGAAATTGTATCTTGTTGTAGATCATCATAAAATCTAAATGCTGATGTTACGATGAAAGTAATTTTAAAAAATCATTTTGAGCTATAACTGCTTATTTCATTTTTTTATTAGATCACAGAAAGTACTGTACCATTCACTGTACTGGATATATGAAGAACTGGTCTCCTAAGGAGGTGGGAGTGGAAGAAGAAAATGATGTAGAAAAAGACAGTAGTAATTTTAACTGTCTCGTTGCAATTGGGAGGTTACACCCTTATATTGTTCCACAAAAGAGTAGTGAAATAAAAGTCAAAGCAACAGAATTTGTTACACGATTTGCCATGGATGGAAAATTTGTTTACGTAGATCAACGGTAAGCATTTTGTTCTTCAACAGAGAAATGAAAATGACGTCACTAGCTGGTTTTCTAGTATTTTCTGCCACAGAAAAATGTTTTTCAAGCATGATAAAATTTCTAGATGCTGTAAGCAACTAGTGATTCCAGCTGAAACTGTGGATAGTCGGGGCTCTTTTCTTGTCATACACCTATTCTACACTACATTTTATGTATTTTCCTATTGGAAAAGGCAGGCTACCAAAATTAAAATAAGTCATAAAATACACTCATATGTTTATTCATTAAAGAAACATCTGATGTTGGAGCTGCATGGCTATATGTATGATTTGTATCTGTATGCAGATAGTTAAAACTCGATCAAAAAAGGACTGCTTCTTAAAATTTTACCATTTGGAACAAATGCAGTATATCTTAATGAGGTACCAAATTATTTCATTAGGACTGAAAACAAAGTTTAATATTTTCTGAGCTTCTCTAAAACGGACTTTTGTCTGCAATATGGATCGTATTGCCATTTCTTAATTTGATTATGGCCGCTGGAAGATTTTTATTGCTTTTAATAATTTTCTTTCCTTTAAAAATATCAATTTAAATCTATTCCTTAAAGTAGCAGAGTAAAATTCAATTATTAATTGTTTTAAAGGATTGATTACCTGTTTCTTTTAAACACTCATTTTTTGCTTTACCTGCTACTGAAGAAAATAAACTTTGCCATTGTTTGAATCTGCTGTAGTTCATGTTTTTATTTCTAACAGTGCAACAGCAATTTTAGGATATCTGCCCCAAGAGCTTCTAGGAACTTCTTGTTACGAGTACTGCCATCAAGATGATCACAACCACCTCGCGGAAAAACATAAAGAAGGTACAAAATGATTTGTCCTCACAAACTGCATGGAGCAACATGTAACTGCTGTGTGAAAACAGGAGAAATCAGAAACACAAAGCTGTGAATTAATAGTAGTAAAGAGTCATTGGCACTTTCTGCTTCTGCATTAATGAGACATAAGAATGAGGATGGTCCTGGAGAGCAAATATGCCTAGTCGTTTAATTAAAGACACCGATTATGAAGGTTCACCAAATCAGGAGTCTCCCTGTCAGTAGTTTGCAGAAGCTCAGTCCATGAGCTCTAGTTCAAAAACAGTGTTTCTGAAAATGTAGTTTGATTTCAGCAGAGCTTCTGTCTTTGTTCTTTTGGTTTTTTTTGGTTTGAATGTCTAGCTATCTTTTTTTCCTTTTAGCATAGAACAATTTTTTAGACTTAACTGTATCTTCCTAGCATAAATACTGTGGTTACAACTTTTCTTTCTTATCTAGTACTGCAGAATAAGGAAAAAGTATTTACGAATTCCTACAAATTTAGAGCAAAAGATGGGACTTTTGTTACTTTAAAGAGTCAGTGGTTTAGTTTCATGAATCCATGGACCAAAGAGCTGGAGTACATTGTGTCAAACAACACTGTAGTATTGTAAGTAATTTGTGAAATGAATCTCCGTGTTATTTTTGGTCTTAATTACAATTTCAAGTTGCTGAGTTTTTGTTTGTTTGTTTCAATCTCAGAGGTCACAATGAGTCACCTGAAGAGCTGGCCCTCAGTGGCTCCCAGCCTGCAGAAGGCGAGTGTCACTTCTTATGATTATCATGGGTGCTGATTTTTACAGTTTTAGCTTTACCCAATCCAGGAACCCTTTTATTCCAGGTTGTTTGTGAGAGAGAGTTTACCTCTTCCAAAGACAATTCTAGTGACAATTTGTGATTGTTTACAGCATTCTAGTTCACATAATTGTCATTGGAAGGGCTTGCAACATCTCTTTTCCCTCGAGCAGATTCTACTACAACTAGGTTTTTGATTGGTAGGCTATTATGCTTCTTTTGCAGAGTCTTTTCATATTTTGCATGTTTTTTTTTCTCCCAAGGAAATGAGGTTTATGCAATTGTGCTAATTCATTTTAAACACAGAACGTAGAGAGGTACTGATAATGCGTTTTTTAACATTCATTTGTTCTACATAGTCTGATCGATATGTGCTATTGACTTTTTCATTTTGCTATAATTGCTGTAAACTTAAGCTTTGTTTTGTTTTTAAACTGTAGATACCACAAAACAGTCTTTAGTAAATGTACCTGGAATGTCCTCTGGAACAGTTCTTGGTGCTGGAAGTATAGGAACTGAAATTGCAAATGAAGTATTAGAGTTACAAAGGTAACAACATTTTAAAATCTTATATTAGGCTTTTAAATAAAGATGGAAAAGAAGTGTAAGTGGTTATGTGGGGGTTATTCAAGTTCCAGTTTTATTATTCTGCATCTAAAAAATATTTTTTGATTTGCAAGGGCGTTTATGGGATGCCAATTACAACAGCCTAATATGAGCCTCCTACGGGGCCATACAGATTACTGGCCTTGGTAAATGGTTTCATTCTGGGGCAGGTAATTTCCCTTCTTAATGAAAGAACTACTTAGCCATGACTTGGGGCAGGTAATTTCCCTTAATGAAAGAACTACTTAGCCATGACTTCAGAACTCTTGTTCTGATGTAGCTTCTTCACTTTGAGATTGAAATGAATAGATAGAACCATTAGGGAATGGAGATTAGTGGCCTGGGAACAGAATATGTGTTTTTCTAGTTCTACCCTGAAATAGTGCCCAGTGGTATATTGCATAACCTCTCAGCTTGTCTTGAAAGTAGAATAAAGTGAGAGCTCAATTCCTTCTCGATACACGGCTGTAGATTAAGAAACTCCACTCTATCATTCCAAATCAATTAATTCAAGATTTAAACTGTTAGTTAAAGAATACACAGCTGTAGATTAAGAAACCCCACTCTATCATTCCAAATCAATTAAATCAATTCAAGATTTAAACTGTTAGTTAAAGATTAGCCATTCTATAAATTAGTTTTAGTAGATTTCTAGCAAAATACCTATGCTGGCATAGTCATGTAAATCCAAAGGAAGAAAGATAATTTTGGTATTCTTGCCTTGTCCTTCCACATTTCTTGCTTGCTGTTTAACAAGAGTGTTTAAAAGACTCTGGGCTAGCTGATTCCAGGTCTTTGAGGTGCATTTGTGCAGAGAGGGTTTGTTTTCAGTCACAACTTTCAGGCATGAAGATTATATCGGAAGATCCAACCTCTTTTGTTGAGGTCAAGCACAGCTTAAGGGTACTATCACCTCATCAGGACAAGGCACCTTGTTTAAGTGACAGCTTTGGCTAGTGAGGCCATTTTTCAGGCCTTAGCTCTTCCACTTTCAGGTAAAGAGATGCCAAGAAATTGTGCAGACACAATGTCTGCATAGCAGTGTGTGCAAGGTCCCATGGAAATCTTTCCAGTGCAACCATACCTGAAAGACTGTAGTAATATTAGATCTTCCCATAAGGAGTGCACCAATTCTGGAAATCCTTGTAGAGGTGTCAGGTGTAGCTTCATATGCCATGGCATAAGTTCTTGGAAACTCCCCCCCTTGAAGTTTTGGTGTTATTAAGAACAACAAGAAATACCCTTTCTCCTTATGGTACCACACAGACAGCAGTCCAGGAGGAGCATCTTCATAAGGAACAGAGAGAAAGTTTGAGCTTTGCATAAAGATGAAATCAATTCATTTCTCCTGTTCTGTGTCAAGTCTCAAGATCCTGAGAGACCAAAGTTGGTCTGTTTTCACCTTAGGAATCCATTATGATGGACAGAACTGTGAAATTTTGAAGAGATGATGATATTGATTTCCCCTATTTGAGGGTTTGATACTGTTAACATTACCTTTTTTTTTGTTGTTGTTGTTTTTTTTCCTTTTTGGCAACCTATCATAAGCTGACGAGAATCCATCATGATGGACAGAACTGCGGAATTTTGAAGAGATGATGGTACTGAACTAACTTCCCCTCTTTGAGGGACACTTAACTTTGATACTGTTAACATTATCTTATTTTTTTTTTCTTTTTGGCTACCTATCATAAGCTGGAAGCTCTTGATGGTGCGTACCTGCACATCTCTGTTTGAGGTTCTTGTTGTAGATGTCTGGATTTCATTGCATAAGTAAAACATGGTTCTGTTGGTTTATAGAGCAGCAGTTTAAGGCAAAAGGACATTTGCAGCAGCCTATCTGACTTATCAAAGCATCTCTTCAGAAAGATCAGATCACAGTAATAGTCCTGACTTGTTTCTCATTTAAGTGGGATGCTAGAAGAAAATAAAATCACGGAAGACCCCATTCTGTGCAAGTTTAGCATTCAGTGGAATCCTGTTTCCGGGGCAGGTATTTTGGAAAACTCTGGCAGTTAATGCACACTCACGTTGAGAAGCTGCATCAGGTTAGTTCATTCAGGCCTTGGAAAAATGAGCCTTAGTGTTTTTTGTCATTTATGTTCACACCTTGAATAGTGGCTAGAAAATGAAGCTATGTATTGCTTTCTTTGGAAAGAGTCGTCCTACTTCACACCTAATGGACTCAGCTGTCATGGCAGTACTGTATTTCTTCTCAGCTGCGGAGTAAGATTTCGTGCCATTTCTTCACATCTTGTATTAAGTCAAGGTACTATCCTCTGCACACTGGGGAAATCAAAATTAGCCAAAGGAGTGGTCTAAACAAGATAATGGCAACTCTTTTTCATCAAACACCTTTATTTTTTTTCTTTCTGTGTGACCACAAACTTAACCCAATGGCGAATGGGTGCCCTTACTACCTGAATCATCTCTCTGCACTTGTTAGTGTGTCCAAGACAGACATGGTTTTCAAGCTGAGCTTTGAGCACCACCAAGTTCTAACAGATTTCAGGGCTGTGCGTGCAGCTGTACTTATAAGCACATCTGAATTGGTTTAGCACCTGAGAAAAGATGGTTTTAGTAGGACAGTCCTAAAATCCTTGTGCCATCTGAAGTCCCTGTCACAATTTTCAGAGATGGCAGAGCTTCTTGCCAGTTTGTGTATTGGGTGTGGGAATATAGAGAATTAATAAATATTCTACACAAATATATATTTATTTCAGATATACTCTTTACTCACTTTAAACATATATATGTTTCCACCAATTCCTTACCACATTTTGGATCTGAGCAAGTGATAGTTGTTAAAGGATCCGGAGTGCCCCACTTCTTTTACAGCCTTGGTCTTGGACAGTCGGGAAGAGCAGGAGGAGATGGGAGCAGGCTATCCAAAGGGCACAAATACTACATTTTCATTATTATTTTAATATCTGGCGTGTTCAGTGAGAGACAACTGGCAGGAACTCAAAGAATTCTGTTAAGTAATCTATATTTTTTTTGTCAGAATTTAATGAAAATGCAAAAAGGTGGGTGTGATGATAATAATAGAAGGAGCATGAGGACATCGTCTTAGTTCTACCTTTAACTATTTAGGAAAACAAATCCTTTTGTGGTCTGTTTTCTGCTTCTTTTGGAATGTATCTATGTGCACCAGTGTGCTCACTTGTGAAACCTGCCACTCTTGGGTCTGTCGGTGTGATGGTTCAAAGGAAAAATCAGAATACACTCAACAAATTGTGACTCAGTCTCTTTATTGAGCACTTCTGCTTTTTGTTTTATCCAAGTCTGTAGCAGGAGAATTTAGTATTTAGGAGAATTGAAGGCAATGTTGTCTTGCATAGGCTTACTTGTATTTTCTTATTGGTTAGGAGAATGTTGGTTGTTTCTGCAACATAGACTATTTTTCATTTTTGTTTCGCGTGATTTCATAATTTCACCATGTGTGTGTATGTATATAATTTTAGGTTGCATTCTTCTCCATCTGGGGACTTAAGTCCATCACATCTCTTGAGGAAGTCACCTTCTCCAGTTTTGTCTGTGAAATGCAGCAATGTAAGTATTTCCACTGCATTTTAAAATCTAAAAATAAAAGATTACTGCCAGATAGCTCAAAACTAGGCACTTTCCATGTGCAGTACCGTATACCTCATACTTCCCAGGTTCTGTATGCATCAAACAACATGAAATACAAAACCAGAATTTCTGTTATTTTGTATCTTGTTATCAGCACAGTACAAGATTAAGTATTTTTAAAATAACTTTTGCACTTTGGAAGCACTAGGCTAGCAACAGTAGAATAAAAGTGTGAAGCTTTTTTACTTCATCTTTCAGCTAGAATGGATTCAGTTTAATGTATTGATATTAACATAGGTGATATGACTGGGAATTTGTAGGTTATGGTACTAGATTTGGAAAATGTGTGCCAGGGCATTTTGTTACACTGGATTTATTTGCTGAATAATGAATTAGATCTTCAGTAAATCAGATGCCCATCACTGTGAAGTAGCTTTGACAGATGGGTAAGTATTCACCCTGCGTTAAAACCAAATCTGGTGCTATGTGAACCTTTCAAAATTGGATTTTGAAATGCAGTAGGACTCCCATTCAGTGTCTTTTTGTTGTTGTTTTTTTGTCTCTGTTTTTCACAGTTTGACAGCAATTTATAATGCTTCTGTAACAAAATAATTGTAATAAAATTTAGGATTTTACTCTGTCCCTTTTACTTTTGATCTTCCAGGTGCCAAATAAAGAGATGATACACTTATGTCCTTCAGAAACAGAAGTTCTAGAGACTTCAGAACAAACCCAGGGTGCTATTTCATTTCCCAATAATGAACCTCTCCTCAGTAAGATTTATTTTATTCCTCTTTTGGGTATTTGGGGATGGGCATAGGGCAAGATGGTTTTAAAGTGGTGCACTTGGAAGTGTCAGGTTTTAACACATTATAAGTTCAAATCTCTTATTTTTAACACAATGAAAGACAGTGATAGTAAAGCAGTTATTAGGCCTGTAGTTAAACTTTCCGATCTCCCTTGTTTATCGATCAGTTAGTAGAAGCTTTTTCATTTATTTAAACCTGTAGCTGTCTTCCAGTTGAGCTATGAGCCTTTTGTATCAATTTAAAAAGTACAGATGCTGGTCCTCAATCAAGGATTTGAAAAATCATTTATCCATGGTAAGCAAGGAAACATTTTTTTTCATTGGTATTTAAGCTAAAATATTTTACTTTACCCTTGTAAAGGGCTAAAAGTATGGAGCTGCTTTCTGAAGCCCACCCATAGCAGCTTGTAAGGATTCGGGAGTTCATCTGGCATCGTACGAACAAGCATTTAGGCACGTGGTTGTGTTTCCCACTGAAGTGACACAAACTGGAAAGCAGTTTTCTGCTTGGATACCAGGGTTGGAGTAGACCCATGATTTGGCAAGGGTTGAGTTTTCAATCCAAGTCATGCACATCTTGATGACAGTCTGCTCATAGCCATCGTTTGAATTACTTGATCTCTGTGAACACTTGGATGTAAATGTTTTCTCTTGCCTTCAAAGGCGGGTGCCATTTAAAAACAAAGACATTTTGAAAACTTGCATATTCTTCATGATTTGTAATGCAAAAAAAATGTTTTAATAATTTTATAGGTGGTAATTCTCAGCTGGACTTCGATGCAATATGTGAAAATGATGACACTGCTATGACTGCTCTCATGAATTACTTGGAGGCGGATGGAGGACTTGGGGATCCAGCTGAACTAAGTGATATACAGTGGGCTCTGTAGTGTTGCTTTCTTGTAGTAAGAAGGAATGTAAAGTTCTTAATGCACAACAACCACACATCCTCAGTACTGTACTATAATTTTTTAACTCTTCATCTTAATTCATATTTAATACTATCTATATATTTTTAAATACTTAAGCCTTGTTCACTGGGAGAGTTTCTGCTGCACCTATGGAAAAATACAATATTTTTTTTAATGATGAAGAACCTTAATTTTAATATTGAACCATCTGTAACTGGAATGCTGAAAACACAATATTATATTTTTGCTAAGAAACTTTAACCAGCAGATACTGTACAGGAAATTGATTTTGTTAGTTATAATACTTTTAAAAGCTTGTAATTATTTTTTGTTTCAAATGGAAATATTAATTATCCATGTTATGTCTGTAGAATGTACTGTACTCGGTTTAAGAATATTTGTAACTATTAAATTTCATTGAGATGGTGGTTTGCACACCCTGCAATTGTAAGATAATGTATTTAATTCCTAAACATTGCAGTGATTTCTTGCCCTTTTTGGGGAGGGCAGCTTTTGTATTCAAAAGTGAAAATCGAGCGTATGGTTCAGGAAGCAAGTATTTAAATTAGATCATCATAAAAAACGGAACAAAAGGTTTTGGAAAAAAACCCAGTGGGCAAACATAAGCGTATAAGACAACTCAGGAAAAAAAGTCTTAGTTATTACGCTCTATTTTTTATAATATATTATTAGAGGGACAGAACATACATTTTTTTCTAGTATTATTTTCCTTGGTTGTAAGTGACACTAGGAAAAAAGAAGCACTTTGTTCTCACTACAGATTATTTGCTAATTAGAGAAATTTGGATAGATTGTCTTGGTCCCAGAGTAAGGATAGCAGTGTCCATTAGTGAAAATGTTTAAATTATACAGTATCTTTTACAGTACATGCTTTGGAAAGATGAAGGTAGCTTTCAGTTTCTTGAGTTTGTGACTTAAAAGTATTTTCGTGTAACATAGTGCACCGTGGGGAACTGCTGCCTGCGGCAGCCTCCTGGGCACGGGCCTCACGAGCCCTGTGTCCCCTTCAGAGCAGGACTCCAGGAACACGGCACTTAGTAGGTTCCATACAACAGTTCAGCAACAACATCCAGAGTGGATCTTTATCCCCAGCATTGTAGGAGTAGGTATATTTTTGCATCAATGGAGTATACTGGAAAACAAGAAAAAAAAAACAGACTTTTTAAATTCAGATAAGGAAAGGAAAGCATTAGAAGAGTTGAGGTGCATGGATATTTTTGTTTACTCCAAACATTAAAGCTTAAACACAGGTACAATCGGAAGTGCTGTCCCCTTCATTTCACACCAACGATGAGTGAGAGGAAACCTGTTTCAGATCTTCTTTTACAAAGGCTGAAGTGTGTCTGTAATATTTAAAGAACAAATAGGTGACTCCTGTAGGTGGCCACTAGATGTCACACGTCTGCTGTTGGATAACTATCCATGAATGGATGCACATTGACTGCGAGGCCTTAATGGAGCAGCTATATATCTTATAGATATGAAACATTTTGGAACTTTTTAATTTTTTGGTTACATCTGGTCCAAGTTTTCTAGAATGGTTTGTTGTAATTTTTTTTTGTCTGTAGATTTTTTTTTTTTTTGAACTTATATGTGATTTCCCACATTCACTTTTTTAAATCATGGGGCCAAAAGGATCTGCTTTCTATCTTCACAAAAGTATATTTTCCCACACAAAATGAAAATTTTAAGCAGTATTATAGAGCAAATTAAGAAAAATAAATGGATGCTTTTCTAAGGATTGATCAATTCACGTTTGTGTAATTGAAAAGTGAACTTTTCAGTTTTGATAGTGAAATGCAGTTTCTTTGCAATTTCTCTTTTCTTTGCTTTCGATTGAGCATGACACCAAAAGTAAATTTTAAATAAAACAAGAAATATTGTAGTTAATACCAAGAAATAAATAAAAAAAACTTTAAGCTTTACAGATTATCCAGACACAAAGTTTCTTTCTTAACCAAATTAGTTTGAAAAATACTCTATTACTGAGTGTTAATTCTTTCACAAGATTTCTATAAACATTCAGAATCTAACTGCTGTTTTTTGGATTCCTCTTGGACCCTAAAAAAGACAAAGAAGAAGTAACCATGAGTCTTCTGCAGTTAGTGATCAGTATTGTGGCTCTCACTTCTTTTATCAAATCCTCTCTACCATTTACAAAATTTTCCGATTTAAAATTGTCTTATGCAAAAAGTGTCATTTGTAAATATTTGTGATGAATTATGAGATGAAATTAAAATTATTTTGATTGCAAGGTACTTAACATGCTTCTTTGAAGATAACAGTACACCTCTATTAACTCAAGATACAGCCTTTTTTTTTTAAACCCATGATACAGGTTACCAAGGCATGGGATTAAACTGGGCTAATAAATATTACCTTTGATGCAGTATTTTGAAAGACTGCCAGTAATTCTACCCAGTCACTGAATTTAAACATTAAGTACTCAAGCTTCCAGAGCCTGGCCTCATTTCCTACAGCCATAAACGGGAAGGTTGAGCTAATCTGGGGTGGTTGGTAGCTCTGGGCAATATTCATTAGCCAGGGTAACTTTTTTAATGCAAGCTAAGGTGTATTTCCAGGGCCTCCTAAAGGACGACATTGCAGCCTCATCAGGGTGTCTCTGGAAAGGAGAGCACCAATAGCCCGTACCTGAAAGAGGCTGTTAGCAGCAGCAGCAGCAAAGGCAGCGTGTGGAGACAATCCTTGCAAAGAAAACCTTGCCACGAGCAGGCGTGGTGAGTGGTAAGGCAAGTATTCACCAGCCTTTGAAAGCTTAATGAATTATCGTGACTCGGACTGGAGATGGAACCCTTTGAAGTTCCTCAGCAAGCCCAGTGCAATTGCGCTGATCTAAAACCAGAGTCTTGTTTGCTGCTCTTCCTTTTCTATAGCACACTGTAGCATGGACTTTCTTTGGTGGACTTCTGCATGTTTAGAGTGTTGGCAGACTTGATTTAATCCCAACTACAGAAGGCTGAACTGAGCATTTTGGTGGCACCTGGCAGTTCTGTGATCCTATTGGTGGTCTGAACCGACCTGAGGGATTTCTTCATTCATAATTATTGCTGCTTCTGCTCCCACCATGACTTCTGGCTTCTTTCACTTAGTCTTTTGCTGCCTTTTCAAATGTTTACATACATCATAGAAGTTCATAAAATGTCCTGGAATTCCAGGAAGTAATCCTCTGCTGGAAACTCATATGCTCCATAAGACTTCTCTGAAGATAATACTCGCCATCCCTTGATGAAAATTATTTTATTGTGTGAAATGGCAAGCAAGAAGATACCTGGGGGTATGGGATAGGTGCCTGCAGGAGCCAAGATGTAAAGGCGGCTTTCAGAATAGCAGCTTTAGAGACCCCAAGGGAAGGCAAGTGGAAGGGTAAGTGCTGCTCCAGGCCTTTGTGCACGCACCTCACTTCCAGAGGGTGCCTCTGGATGCTGCTTTAACTTCACACTGTCGTGGCTACATTTTCTGGGTTGCTCCTGGCTTAGTTGCTCTCAGACACTTCATATCATACTTGTGTGGAAGTGACAGATTTCCTCAGACGTGTCATAACTTCTCATGTCCCTTGGAAGTAGCCAAGAGCACGTTCACTCTTCTTATCCAAAGTCCTGGGGAGCCAGTGCCAAGATACCCCAGGCTATTACATTAAATAAAACATATTTAAGGGCTCCGAGAGGTGCATGTATTAGGGCATGTCAGCTTCTCTCAAGTGCTTCCCAATTACAGTTAAATGGGAAAGAAAGGAGAATGAAGTACTGTAAATACATCTGATTCACTAAAGGAGAAATGCATGTGTATGGGCAATTACAAGAGGGTTAAAGTGCATGTAACTCTGATCCTTGGGCAAGCTGTTTACATGTCAGAACTCCAGAAATAAACACAAGATCTTTGGAAAATATGAAATGCTGTGTGGGAAAAGCTTCCTTCCTTGCTCGTTGCTTTCACAGTGCTGGCCCCATCTGGGAAGTAAATATTTTCTTCCCCAGCATTTGCAGATCCAGACTGTATGTGCTCTGACATCGACAATCTGTTCTAGCAAATTTGGGGGACTTTGGCAAGCTCCAAGCAGCTGCTCAGCACTGGCTCTGGAGCAGCGAGCTCAGAGCAGCGCAGGGCTGGTGCGAGGTTCATCTGTGCTGAACCCGGCTCCTGCCAGCTTCACTTGGCTTCTCACATCGGCAAAGACAACAAGCACTTGTCTTTCATCGTCTGTCTCCACATTCCTTGTGACTTTTCCAGTTTCGATGATGATCCCCCTTTTAGACCCACAGCTTCAAACCTTTGCAAAGCACCCAGCTCTTCCAAACTATCTTCCTTGCGGTTTATTACGGCAATTTGCAGCATGATCCTAAGGCTGCCTTTTCAAAGAAAACCATTTATTTCGTTTGTTGTGGTATGTTTTAACTCGTGGTGCATTTCTGTGACCAAGTTCTGTAAGGAACATTTAAGTTTCCAGTATAAAAACATGTGTATGTCAGAAAGGAGAGGTCATTATTTCAGAGTTTGTACAGTTGCTTTGGTAGAAAGCCATGGGAAATGGTCCAGCGTTGTGGGAGTTTGCAGATAAACAGAAAGATCAAATGAAATGAAACACTAGATACAGTTGCAGGAAAAATTAGAGTTTTCCATTGGAAAAAAAAAAAGGAAAAGAAAAAGGATAGTTTGGATAACTACTTATTTAAGGGAGCTGAAGTGCAATTCTACAGTGTGTTACAGGCACAACACTTGCACGAGCGGGGTTGTGGAGTGGTCCTCAGCTCAATTCCTGTGCCCTAAAGCAAAGGGGGTTGGATTGCTGTTGGTTATGCATCTCCATATTTTTCATGTTTACACCTCCAACATCTTTCAGATTCTGGTAAGCTTTCTAATCACAGCTTGCTGGGGTTTCAGCTTTTGGTGATAAGCACAAGGGCTAGCAGCTCACTAGCTGAAAGCTGTCTGAGGGGAAAAGATTTTAGCCTGGATTGTTTTCCTGCTTAGGCCAGGATGCAGCTGCTGCTGTTTCACCCACTGTTTTGTTTCCACTGAAAAATCAAATCCGCTGGGCTAATCCACTCTCTCTTGTACTTCTGTCAGTGTTGGTTTGGGGTTTCTACAGGTTACCTACAAACAGAATTTGAAATTTCACCTTAATCTGAAAGGACTGGGGCACGCTGGCCTGAAGTTGCACTGCTGCAGCAGTTAGTGCATGTTTGTAACCATGTGCCATTTCCAAAGGACTGGAAAGTTACCATTTATAACCCCTCATCTTGCTCTTTCCAGCCTGCTTTTAATACCGTGCTTTAATCAAGTTGAGGCCTTAGGACAGGGTAATGGTGAATAAGGCTGTCAGAATTTGAATTTGCTGGAGGCATTTACAGCCCTGCTGAGTGTCCCACCCAAACAGATGGAGAGGCAAACCTTGTTCAAGTATATTTGGAATAAGACATTTGGAAGATGTAATTTAATCTAAAAGGGTCTAGCAATTAGCTTTCCATTTCTATGGCAAGAAGCTTTTTATAGGACAGAACTTCTAACCAGTTGAGCATCTTTGCATGTCAAGAAATAATTCCAGAATTCCAGTTGCTGGTATGGGAATTAGGCGTATGCTGCATGCGATGAGTATGTTGTTTTTTCAAACTACCTAGTGATCACACTTTAAGGGGTATTTTTATTTTGGGCACTGATGTGTGGAAAAATGTATGGGCAACTTCTATGTGTAATTCAGTGAGCTGCCTGTAGTAGTCCTGTGTGTTTCATTGGGTCATTAAGCTGTTCCTCGCTCTTAAGCAACCTGGTAAGCTTTTCCCAACCCTTAAAATAGTTGTAATGGAGAATGACCTTTAAGCTCTGCAATTTTATTTCTCTGAAACTGGAATTTGACCAAGCAGCAGGACCAGAATTTGTAGGACTTTTGATACGTCCCCAGTGATTGTTAACACTGTCATTAATTATACTGTGTATAGGGAAGAGTTGAGTGCCAACCTGACCTCACAGGAACTGGTAAGATTCTTTGCGTCTGGCTTCAGTGTGGCCAAGATCAACATTAAGACTAAGTGCCCTGTGACCGTTAACCGTTGAAATGTTCAGTATAAAAACGGTTCACAGATACCCTCTCTCTCTGCAGCCAGTATTTTTGTTTGTTTCTTTCTTCCTGTTCGGTTCACATTGCATAGGCATATGGAGATGCGTGTGTGTATGTGTTTGTGTATAGATTTAATCCACTAACAGCCATAGACTGCAGATGAGATCACCGAGGCAGAACGTTTTTTTTGCCGCTTGTGGATATAGCAATCTCTCTTTTAACAACAGCAAGCTTTCCAAAGGTTATTGCTTTATAGGAATTAATACATTTAAGGCATGTACAGCCGTTCATAGCTAAGAGGGAAGAAATATTTAAAATTACAGCATTCCCGATGTCTTGTATTCAAGGATAGTGCCATAGGTAATCACATGGAGAGCAAGTTATATCTAAAAACAGCATTTTGGCAAGATACTTCTGTCAAAATAATGAAATAAATTCATATTTCACTTAACTTCATTGTTTAAATTATAGTAAGAAGGATCTTCAGTATTTTTATTGAAGATGTGTTGATGCCTTTCTGCTCTTTCAGAGAAGTTGTGTGTTGTGTGTGTGTGTGTGTGTATGAGAATAGTTTTTAAATTGCTTTTCAGCATCTTCATTGAAATATAAGACCTATTTTCACTAAGAGAGATATGTGTGTTCACTGTTTCTTATCATTACTCCCTTTCATGATGATTTTAACTATCACTTAACCATCAGTTAAAAAACTGTAGTTCTAGGTAGCTGTTTGAAAGTTTTGTTTAATAAGAGGGGTTCATTTTATAAACTTAGATTTTGAAACAGTGTCCTGAAATTAATTTTATATGTTTGAATTTTCAGCTGGAAAAAGCATAACCAATATATAGCTTTTAACCAAATGTTTTAAACACGCCTGCAGCCTATGAAAACGTGCTGCTACATTTCTTTTTAAACGATGTAGCACCTTCCCTGTGGAAGGATCTTTGCTTTACAAGTACCACTGATTCTGTGACCACACCGTGCAGAGCTGTGTCGAGGGACCCCGCAGCTACTCCTGAGCAGGTTGGTCTGTGCACGGCACAGTCCAGCACCACGCAAAGGGACCCCCAGAAATCATCTAGGTGAGACGACAGAGCCGGCAGCATCAACCTAATTGGCTTTTCTTGCAGCTCAGGCATCTCCACCTGCCTCAGCGTGGGGTAAGCAGAGCCTAAAAGCTTCTTCTCAACAGCTTTCTAGCCTAAGTAACTTGACTCACTCTGCTTAGACTCAGAGCCTGCAAGGTAGGACTGCACTATACAGATGAAAGTGCTGGTTTGGTTGGTGGTTAAATGAAATTTTTAACAGCTTGTGTCGGCTCAAGTATTCTGCGCTGGAAGCGAAACACTTGAGAGACAACGGAAAAACAGGTGGAGCCACAGGCAAAGAATTCAGTTTTTAGGATAAATTTACAGCGTCAAAATTGTACTGGAATAGTTTGCAGATCTTTAGTTAAAAATCACATAAAAGGGATCTGCACCTCAATTCTAAATCCATCAGATTTTTAGTACATCAATTTCAGTCAAAATATTTCTTAAAGAAATGCATGAGATCATTAACAGCAGAAACAGAATTAATAGCATTTTCCTGCATATGTATTTTGATAAACACTAACAAAGCACCAACTTCTTTTTGCCCCACAGACGACGCTACAATGCAAAGGGCATATGATGAAATTTCCTAACAGATGACTGGCTGAGCAGAGCTTCTGCCATGGCAGTAGGAAACTTGGCTGAAGAGCAAAGCCAGGATAAACACATAAATTCAGCCACCATTTAGCTTCACCAAAGGCATGCACAAATAGCTGCAAACTTAATAAACAGATGTGACTTCCCTCTTGAAAACTCTGGATGCCACTTGCAGGTTGAAGCTTTGTGTAGCGGACCTCAACGTTCTCTCTTTATCACTGTGGATCTTTAGCGAATAACTTACTTTCTTCAGGCCTGTAAACTCTTGGAAACTCTTTCTAAACCACTGTTGAAACTGGGCCACTGTACAGGAATAAGGGCAAGATTCACAAGGATAGAAGGCTAGCTAGCCAGAAGGATAAGGAACAAGGGAGCCCAATTCAGCTGACAAGCACAGAGGAGAGTGTCTGGAAATGGCCATGTCACTTGCCATGCAGCTTAAATGAAGAGCGATCATTCGATGTAGAAGCTTCCTCTTCCAAATAGCTGCGTCCATTCCCCTCACCTAAACAGTGAAACGGAAGAGTAATTATTGGTTGGGGTTGGAGTCCCCCAGCTTGTTTCTGTACACACAGAATGCTCCTCTCCTGCAGCCTTTCTGGGATGAGTTTAGCACCCTTGCTTGGCTGTGTTTCTGAAGTGTGTACAGGAGTGAGGTGCCATCTCTTATTCCCTGAGAAGTTCCCTCCTCTGCTGCTTTGGAGACATCAGCTCTGCAGTCATTTGCACATAGCCTACACGCAGCAAGTCTTGCTGTCAAGACAAGGGAAAGCGAGAACAGAGATGGACTCAACGGAGCTGACATTTTTCAGGTTCAGTTTTATGAGATATCCCCAATCGCACTCTAAATCAAGGGTGATTCAGAGCTGTGTCTCACTTCTCTCCTTCTGAATAAGGAGGATTCAGATATGGGTTTAATAAGAAAACTGGAGTGACACTAACTTGATCAACAATATCTGGGTTTTAATTTGAGGATATTCATGAGAGTACTCTGGCTACAAAGAACATCTGAGACACCAGTTAATTGAGTTAAGACTGGGAAGAGTAATTAGGTCATCCAATCTGAAAATCTGCTAGGATAGCACAGCTGTTACTGCTGTTTGGAGCTAACCACCTTGTGTTGCTCTGGGGTATTTTGTTAA